AAGAAAAAAAGACTCTTTTCAATGGGTAAGGTTGAAATTCATTGAAAACATATAGATGAGTCATAAGATTGGAGGTGATTTGGTATCAAAATTCATAGTTAAAATCGAGTTGAAAAAATTCTTCTGCAACACATGTATCAAACATGTATCATGCATCTATCTCACACACAGGTATACATGGATATACATGTGATACATATTTGATACAAAGTTGATACATATGTGATACACTTATTATTTTTTCATGTTCACCTTCTACATTGAATTTTCAATTCAAACCACCTCAAAACTCCACCAAATCGTCTCAAAATTGAGATTCAAGCTCCTTAAGATGTACCCAATCTATTCTAATAATGCCCACTCAAAAGAAAGTAAAAATTTGATCTTTTTTGGCTGCAAATAGCTAATTGGTTAATATTAGTAATATTTGGCTAATATTAGTAATATTTTATGAATTGTCTAATTTTTATAATAAACCACTTATAAATGGACACAGCTGTTTTCCCTTGAATATTTGCTATGCTTCGACTGAAATAAAACAGTGGGATTGGTCTTGGGTTGGCACATTTCTCAGAAACAAATTTTGGGTTTGTTGTGATGATATGGGCTATTGCTTGCATTTCACATCGTTACACTTTAAGGTCCTCACCGAGTTTCTCTCGAAATCTTTGCATAAATAGCCGGTTGAATTTACTGTTTACTTTAAACATAAATTTTAAATAAGAAATGTGAAAGAATGTTATGCAAATGCAGTTCTTTTATTTATGAAAGAAAAATAGGTATGCACCTATAGGTGCAAATCTTATCTTCAGTAGTACTGGAGTATTATTTTTCTAGTTGATTCATGTTGCTACAAACCAGAGGAATTTTATACACGTTTTGGCTAGCAAATACAAATAATTTCGGCTGACCGGCCAATTGGGTATTTTGCTCAATTCAAAGTGCTAGATCCGTTATGCGAAAACAGACACATTACAGAGTTCGGTGCACCTGTGTATGAACTCCAGCATATTATGCTGGACCGATATACTTTGTTGGCTCCAGTATAATATACTGGAGACTGGAGCACCGGTGCTCCAAACTCCAGTATATTATGCTGGACCGGTATACTTGCTGAACTCCAGTATATTATGCTGGAGTTCTAGTGTACTTATGCTGGAACTCCATTATACTGGAGTTCCAGGATAAGTATGCTGGAACTCCAGCATAATATACTGGCGTATTTTTCGGGTTTTGAACAGTATTTTCGCTTAGATTTATCTTTACATGAAAAGTGGCCAAATTTAATTACTTTTGAAACTGGGCTATTTTTGAACGACCAGTTGTAAATCTGGCTATTTTTGAATTTCTCCCTTGAATTTTTCTTGGTAAGAGTTAAATAGGAAAACTAAGTTCTCAAAGTTAGTTTGGGCCAATTTTGTGCAAGGAGTAGAATGCAATTGGAGGTATTTTATTCTCAAATACTAACATATTCCAAATTAATAAAAAACTTATTATTGTTACGGAAATCCGAATTTCTTTCTGAAAATGGTGTGGCAATATGTTTCTTTGTTCTTTTATTTAATCTTTTTTATAGATATACTTTTGAAAAAAGTTCAAGTATTTTTTTGGTTTGAATTGGACCCCGACTAATCCAGATTGGCACTAGGTTAAAGCCATGAAAATTGGAAGCACTTTCTACAAAGTTCGTACCCGAAATCTCTGACGAAGAATAGATGAATTCTGTTCATTCCACTACAACCTTTAGTGGTAAAATTCAAAAAATAAAAAGATATTTGATTGGTTTTAATCTATTAATTTTCTTTCTTTTTTTCTTGCTATTATTCTATTTCCCTTAAATTCAATCCAAACAAACATTGTTCACAAAACCAAACTAAACCAAAACCAAAACCAACCTGTTATTATCCAAATGCCACCTAGGTGTTAACTTTGATACTGAAAAGACATTGGAAATTTCTGATCACTCCTAATCATATATACATAACAAAAAAATTTCAAACTTAACACATTAATTCATTAGAAGGAACCTTCATATGAAACTTTAGCACACTTTCCATTAAGTTTCATATTCTTAATAATTCTGTTTTCAATCACTACTTCCCATTTATAGGCCATATCTGAGTTTCTAAGTTGTCAAAAGGCAGTTTCCATTGAGATTTGCCTTGTATTATTGTTTGACAACCTTTTGCACTTCATGCAGTCAACCCTAGTTTTAAGGTCTAGTGATAATCTCAAGTAATTAACTAATTAATTATAGGAGAATAATATACACTAAACTCACTGTCATTAACTCATAATCTGAGAACTTAGCATGCTCACACAAGCTTAATTTACTTCCTTAAGTAAAGTTCTAACGGATTTCGATGCTACTTGTTATTTTAATAATTTGAAATAAAGAAAGAAAATAAGAAGTTTCCATAATGAATGAAGAAGTTAAGCAAACATGAGGGTTGAAAATGATGACTACATCACATATAATGTGTAGAGGTAGCATGATAATGTATATTTTAAATAAATTTAGTTTTTAATTAATTATATCTATGCATATATTAATACTTTTTATAAAGAAAGAGATTAATTTAAATAATTAAAAAAATGTTTTTGAAAAGGAGTATAAAATATGAATATGATTATGATGTCGAGAATGGCAAGAGCAAGCAGCCGTATCAAGCACGAGACCTTCACGTGTGGCCAGACCTTCTTGTTCAGTACAACCAACCCCCACCCTATGCACTTTTATTTTATTTTATTTCCTTTTTTCTTCTCTATTCGAAAATTAATAAATTACTTACAATCTCTCCTTGGTCCAAGAGTGATCTAGCGGTCACTGAAGTGGTAAAAATCACGAGAGATTAAGATTTAAATTTTAATAGGGACAAAAATATGTTAAGCGAATTCTCGTTATTTGCTTAATTATTTTTTGCACAATTTATCTTACGACAAACATGATAACTAATCGATTGCGCTTTCCTTTAATTTCTCCCCTCCCATTTCAAGAAGGTTTTTCTGAGCCGAGGGTCTATTGAAAACAACCTCTCTATCCTCACAAGATAGGAGTAAGGTCTGCGTACACACTACCCTCCCCAGACCTCACAGTGTGGGATATTACTGGATATATTATTGTTGTTGTTGTTGTCGTCAACCCATTTCAAGAAGGAAAGTACTAAAAGGCGTGCATGCTCAACTGAAAATAGAGGAAAGCTTCTTCACTTTCGATAGAGACGCATATTCTACAATCTGTGGTTACTCGATAACTATACTGGTGAATGGTGAGGGTTAATAAATACAGAATTAGCGAATATTAATGCTAGTGAAGACTAAAGAGTAAAATAGTTGAGATGAGCATAATCTAATTCAAAAACTACCGTTACTCCAATAAAATAATATTAATAATGTACAGCTCAACAAAATGACCTTGCACGGGACACTCCAAAGCAAGTCTGGAAGACTTAGATAAATGGAGCCTTACAGGGTTTAATAAATTTAAAATCAAAACTATCCTCCACTCCTTCTCCCTTCCACCACCCATGACCCAACCGGCCAACACTACCCCACATCTTCTCCATATTATCTGAAAATAGATATTCATAATTTATAAATGGAAAAGAATTATACATCATTATGCATGTCACTTCTGTATAGGTCTAAATCTGGCGATTCGACAGTAACAGATAAGCAAGACAAAGGACGGGGTCAATCATGGTATAACAACTGAAGGTTGCTCTCAAGCCGGTTGATGCCAAAGACGGGCAGCTCAGATGAGGAAATAACGGTAGCATAGGTTCAAATGTGGACACAAGGAATATTCCTTTGGATATTCTTTGTTTTGTACTTTTTAGGGTTTTTGGGAAATATTCCTTATAAATAGGAAGAGATAGGGAACAAAAAGGGATCCAGAATTTATGAGAAAGAACACTTTGTAAAAGGTTGACCTGAAAGAATATACTAAAGTTGTCTTCGTTGTTTACTTTATTCGAGCATACATTTTTGATCCCATATTCACAAGATCCAAAGATTCCTCAACCCCCTTTGTATTTCCCTTCTTTCCACGCTGCTGTCACGAAAAAGGGCCTTCCGAATCTCACAATAATTGGGTAGTAACTTCCTTTTTGTTATGCTAGTCGCATTTATTTGTATTCATTATACATTTATGTTGATGCATTTATGAGCATTTAATCAGCTCAAACACATTAGCTAACGTCATTCATCTTGTCTACTTCATCTAACATTTGGTCTAGATTTTATTATTCTTAACTAAGATTCACCCCTCTCTTCATCATTAATTGCTTTAATCAAAAGGTTTAACACTTTTTGGTCAAACGATTTGGCACCGTATGTGGGGGGCCTTTTAGTTAAAATTTTAATTTCTTCTAGATTGTAAAAAGGGACAACCATCTTTTCCTCGCTTTGCATAAACTAACAATGGCAGGAAAAGGAGATGCAAGACAGAAAGTAATAGCAGGTGTCCCTATGAACATTTTGAACACCATTAACGAGGATGGCAGAGTAGACAATGAGAATGTGACGCCAAGCGTTACGCCCAGGCGGAGTGATTCACCTCCTCCCCATGAAAGTGTAACCACTTCACGTGAAAGGGAAACTTCCACATCCACAGCTGAGGAAGCACCACCAACAGTGAAAAAAGTGTTGGAGGAGTGGCTGGCAAGTACCCTTAATGACATACTCGACAAACCCGTTCAAAGAGCAAACCAAAATGTCGCACCTGCAGATGCCATAACGACCACCGATGAGCAACCAGCTCCCCCAACAGGTAACACTCACACCATTGTTGATGTAGGCACTGACGCACTGGCAGCCAAAAAATAGAAGAAATGGAAAACGAAAATAAGACACTCCTCGACCAGATGAGAGAACATCAAGAAAGGGTCGATAAGATAACGGGCGCTCCGAAACTGCTACCAAAATGAGATGTCGACCGATTCTTCGAACGACCGTATAGCGAGGAGGCAGCCTCGCATGCCATACCCAAGACCTTCAAAATGCCACCATATTTAACGATATACGATGGCACCACAGACCCAGAAGACCACATCATTCACTATGTCACAGCAGTAAAGGACAACGACCTATCAAAGGAGCAAGTACCGTCAGTGCTACTAAAAAAGTTTGGCGAAACCCTAACCGGAGGAGCCCTAACTTGGTACTCACAACTACCAGCACGGTCCATAAAAACGTTTGAAGAAATGGCTGATAAGTTTGTCACCGCCCATGGCGAAGCTAAGAAAGCGGAGGCCAGGGTGAACGACATATTCGGCATTAGGCAATCGCCAGGCGATGGACTCAGGGACTTCCTTGCTCGGTTTAACAGGGTGAGAATGGGCTTACCAAACGTATCGAAAGGGATGGCGGTAACAGCTTTCCAAAACGGGTTAAACAGAAATGGGTCAAGGGCAACCATGAAGCTGTTAAGCAGGCTCATGAAATACCATCCCACCACTTGGGAAGAAATTAACAACACCTACTGTGCCGAGGTGAGAGTATATGATGATGACCTTAACGGTCCAAACCAACGTTTAACGTCAATGCAAATAGAGCCAAGGAAAGACCGTCGTAATGACAGTCAAAGAGATCAGTCTGGACCACGCCATAACCGAGATAGGCATCAGCCCTATGTCAAAAACACCATTCCACGATCCCCTCGACATATGGAAGGGTCGTCCAGGCCGCACACAGGGACTCAGCTAAACGAAAGAGGTATGCCCCCACTCTTATCCGCTCACAATTTTTGTGTTTCTCTTTCAGAAGTAGTGTACGCACTAGAGAAGCTTGGTACGAAGGTGAAGTGGCCGTAAAAAATGAAGTCCGACCCCAATACCCGAAAGTCGAACGTTCTTTGAGAATTTCACCAGGAGTGGGGTCACAAAACCGAGGACTGCATAGCCCTACGGCAAGAAGTGGTTAACATGCTGAACCAAGGACACCTGAAGGAGTTAATGAGTGACCGAGGACGAGCTAACTTTGGCCGTGGACGAGAACAACACCAGGGCCCTTCAAAGCCGCCCTCTCCTGCCCGCAACATTCGAACGATCATCTGTGGAGGCGACGAAGCAGCAGTCAACCACATAAAATTTACCACCACACACAAGCTGAAGCGGTCAATCACTCACGATCGGTATGATGACCTCGAAGAAAGTATCATCTTCGATAAGTCAGCTACCAACGATTTGATTTTTCCTCACTCCGATGCTCTTGTCATTACTTTACCTATTTCAGATAATGATGTTAAAAGAATAATGGTAGACGACGGAAGCGGCGCGTGAATTATCCATCCTAGAGTGCTCACACAAATGCGACTCGAGGATAAGATAGTACCACGTTGCATAACACTAACGGGTTTTAAGAATGCAGTCAAACGAACCTCAGGAGAAATAACACTGCCCGTCCTGGCCGGAGGCATCACCTTAGAAATGATGTTCCATGTCATGAACTAGGACACAGCTTACAACGGAATCATAGGACGACCGTGGATACACGCCATGAGGGCTATCCCGTCCAGTATGTACCAAGTAATCAAATTTCCTACCCCGTAGGGAATATCCAGCATCCGAGGCGAACAACGCACAGCCCAAGAATGCTACTGCATCGCCCAAGATTGCACATTCACGCAACAACTGAAAGGAACAGGCTCAGAAGCATAGCAATTAACGAAGTTGGGGTCCGAACCCGACGATTGGAAAGACATTATTAAGGACCCCGACATCGTGGAGGCCGCAGGATCGACAATAGAATATCTCAACCCCGTCCAACCGGATAGTGGTGACAATAATAAAAAGGGCTATATAGGCCATAAGCTCTCCGAGCCAGGTAAATTTCATGAATTTTTAACCAATAATGACGATCTGTTTGCTTTTTTCCCATGCAGATATGCCAGGGATTCTGAAAGATGTCGCTACACACAAATTGAACGTTGATCCATTCTACCCCCCAGTACCACAAGCGAGAAGAAAATTCAACGCAATAAACGAGGCCGTCAGTGAGGAAGTGGATAAACTACTCGCTAACGGCTCCATCCGAGAATCAAAATATCCTCAATGGGTCGCCAATGTAGTCATGGTCAAAAAGAAAAACCGGAAATGGCGAATTTGCATGGATTTTACGGACCTAAACAAGGCCTGCCCAAAGGACTCCTTTCCTCTGCCTCATATCGATCAGCACATTGATGCAACGGCAGGGCACGAGTTGTTGAGTTTCTTGGACGCCTACTCAGGCTACAAGCAAATCCTCATGGAGGAAGAGGACCAAGAGAAGACCACTTTCATCACCCACCAAGGAACATACTGTTATCGGATCATGCCATTTGGCTTGAAGAACGCAGGGGCGACTTGTCAAAGATTAGTGACCAAAATGTTCAAGAACCAGCTCGGCAAAACTATGGAAGTTTACATAGACATGTTGGTCAAATAAAAAAGGAAGGAAGATCACATCGACCACCTGAAAGAAGCCTTCGAAATACTGAGGCAGTACGGAATGAAACTGAACCCCGAAAAATGTGCCTTCGGCGTAACTTCAGGCAAGTTCCTCGGGTTTTTGGTATCACAAAGAGGCATCGAGGTCAATCCCGACCAAATTAAGGCCATTGAGGGAATATCCAAAGTGTTAACCAGCAAGAAACAGGTTCAAAAATTGACGGGTCACATAGCTGCCCTGTCAAGGTTCATCTTGCGATCCTCCGACAGATGCCACAAGTTATTTAACGTGCTCAAAAAGGACAACGGTCTCCAGTGGAATGCAGAATGCATCGAGGCCTTAAGAGAACTAAAAGCGTACTTATCATCTCCCCCACTACTCGCCAAAGCAGAACCCGGTGAGCGCCTCCTTATATACGTGGCCGTATCAGAAGTCGTCGTAAGCGCAATATTGGTCCTTAAGGATAAAGGTACGTAATCCCCGATCTATTACATTAGCAAAACTCTCGTCGATGCCGAAACGAGGTACCCTCACCTCGAGAAGTTGCCCTTGGCATTGGTCGTAGCTTCACGAAAGCTTAGACCCTATTTTCAATGCCACCCTATTTCGATGGTAATGACCTTTCCCTTAAGAGGTATCCTGCATAAACCCGAACTGTCGGGGAGATTGGCCAAATGGGCCATAGAATTGAGCGAGCGCGATATAACGTATCAGCCGCGAACAACGATAAAGTCACAGGTAATCGCCGACTTCGTCGCCGATTTCAGCGCCAAAATAATAACCGAGGTCGAAAAGGAAATTTCACAAACCTCGTCTGATCTGCCTGACCTATGGGTCCTATACACCGATGGCGCATCCAACGCGTCAGGATCTGGACTGGGACTCGTACTCGAGGTCCCAACGGGTGAAGTCATTCGCCAGTCCATACAGTGCCCTGATATGACTAACAATGAGGCCGAATATGAGGTCATAATTGTAGGACTGAAACTAGCTCTCAGATACGGAGCACGCCGAGTCATCCTTAAATGCGACTCGCAACTTGTTGTCAACCAAGTCACAGGGACTTTCCAAATCAAAGAGTAGAGGCTACAACGGTACCAGGCAGAAATTCAAAAATTGCTACCGGAATTCGATGAATGTCAACTTGACCAGATACCTCGAGCACAAAACATCAAAGCAGACGGCCTCGCCAAATAAGCAGTGGCCACCAAGAACATCACAAAGGAAAATGTGGTCACCTTCCTGCATTCATCGATTGACCAACTCGAGGTACACTCTGTAAATTTGGCTTGGGACTGGCACAACCGTATTATAACATATTTGCAGGAAGGAGCACTCCCAGCGGACAAAAAAAATCTAAAAACTTCGAATGCATGCGGCCAGATACAACCTCATAAATCACGAGTTATACAAAAGGACGTTTGGAGGCCCCTTAACGAAATTCCTAGAGCCGAATCAAACAAGGCGCGTACTCGAATAAGTACACGAAGGCCACTGTGGTGCCCATACCGGCAATCGGGCCCTCGTCAGATGCCTCATTCGAGTAGGATATTATTCACCCACAATGAAAAAGGAAGCCGCCGATTATGTCAAGAAATGCCAACAGTGCCAGAGATATGCCCCTATGATACACCAAGCGGCCGAACACCTCCATTCTGTTACATCGCCATGGCCGTTCATCAAATGGGGAATGGACATTGTCGGACCCCTCCCAACAGGGGGAGGTAATGTACGTTTTCTTTTAGTTTTAACTGACTATTTCTCCAAATGGGTAGAAGCAGCTGCGTTCACTCAAATACGCGAACAGGAAGTTATCACATTCATATGGAGAAACATCATATACCGCATCGCCATCCCCAAACAAATCAGTTGTGACAACAGACCTCAGTTCACCGGAAAAAAGACCGCCGAGTTCTTCGAAAAATGGCATATCAAGCGAATACTCTCCACGCCATATCACCCGGCCGGTAACGGACAGGCCGAATCCTCCAACAAAACAATACTGAATATCTTGAAGAAAAAACTTGAAGATGCTAAGGGACTATGGCCGGAATTACTCCCAGAGGTACTGTGGGCATACCGCACCACGCCAAAAACAAGCATAGGAGAAATGCCATACTCACTCGTCTACGGGACTGACGCCATGATACCGGTTGAGGTCGGTGAACTCAGTTTGAGATACTCCAACGAAAGTGGGCCGGGCAATGACGAAAACAAAAAACAGGACCTCGACGAAGCGGAGGAACGAAAGGACATGGCTTACGTAAGAATGGTAGCCCAACAGCAACAAGCAGAACGGTACTACAACAAAAAAGCAAAAGTACGACCACTCAAAGTCGGAGACTATGTACTCAAGGCTAAAACACAAACGAACAAAGATTCAAGAGAAGGCAAACTAGGAACCAATTGGGACGGGCCATATAAGATCACGGCAGCAGCAAACAAAGGATATTTTCAACTAGAAACTATGGAGGGAAAACTACTACAAAACAATTGGAACGTCGCCCATCTCAAATACTTCAACTTTTGAAAACAGACGCCCTCCGCGTCGTACTCTTTTACCCTCTGTCCCAATTGGGTTTTCTCGAAGAGGTTTTTAATGAGGCGACAAAGGGAACGTATCGAAGTTCAAGTATAGTTTATCACCCCGCCAACCGACTACTTCTCCAGGTCGTACGATGAAGGGACTGGATACATGGAAACTTCTCCAATATATGTATGAAACAAGGAACGCTTGTAATATTCTCCAATGAATGAAATAAAGCAGCATTTTTACTCTCCACCAAGATATTCTTCAATGAATTAAATAAAGCAGCATTTTTACTCTCCACCAAGTCTCTTCACACTCCATATTCGACCTCGCTCGAATCACTTTACATCCGACCTCGATCGAATTACTTTACATTCAACCTCGCTCGAATTATCACACATTCGACCTCGCTTGAGTTTTTTTACATTCGACCTCGCTCGAATCATTTTACATTCGACCTCGCTCGAATTATCCCACATTCGACCTCACTCGAATTGTTTTACATTCGACCTCGCTCGAATTGTCACACATTTGACCTCGTTCGAATTACCTTACATTCGGCCTCGTTCGAATTACTTTACATTCGACCTTGCTTGAATTATTTTACATTGGACCTCGCTCGAATTGTTTTACATTCAACCTCGCTCGAATCATTTTACATTCGACCTCGCTCGAATTATCACGCATTCGACCTCGTTCGAATTACCTTACATTCAACCTCGTTCAAATTACTTTACATTCGACCTCGCTCGAATAACCTCGTTCGAATTACTTTACATTCGACCTCGCTCGAATTATTTTACATTCGACCTCGCTCAAATTATTTTACATTCGACCTCGTTCGAGTTACTTTACATTCGACCTCGCTCGAATTATTTTACATTAGACCTCGCTCGAATTATTTTACACTCAACCTCGCTCGAATTACTTTAGGATCTACGATCGACTACACCAAAACACTACACACAAGCGACCGAAAAAGTCAGGGATTTCATCACATAGCAAACAAAAATAATAATAATGACAATCCGGGAATACATAGCAAAAAGGTAACCATTCCATTACAACTGTCATATTACAATATTTTTAAGAAAGGGCCCAGGGACGCCCTCACAAAAATAAGAGGACAAAACAAAATAAGTACAACGGCTTTACGCCGCGTCATCCCCATCGGCGTACTCATCATTATACCAAGAATCGGAGGCGATCCTGTCCGCATTATCGTCAACATCATCCCCGCCAGGTGTATCGGGGGCATAACCACAAGCTCCGCGGGCCGCACGTGCTTTAACACGGACACCATCGAGTTCTGCTTCGGAAACT